TGAGTAGTCCCTTATCATCAGATTTATGATGAAGATCAGAAATACCTTCTCTAGCTACTCACTCTGCAAGAGGTAACCCTTTTTTTCCCTATCTTTGCCCACCACCTATTTCCTTCATAGCACTTATTATATGTTAAACAAATTCCAGCTGGATTCTGACAGTATAGCTGATTTCATGGTAGAATCTTCCTAAAAAATATGTCTCCTCTCTAGAACTATCACCGCTGTCTTCACTGAGATCATATGTATAAGTTAAAAATCTTCTGTGTCAGGCTCTGGGGTAGGTGGTTTATTTCATGTAATCTTCATAATAACTCTAAAAGTTGGACATGATGTAATGTCTTAGATGCTAAAAGGAGGTGATTATCATGGGCTCCTTCTTGTGTGCTTTGTGCCTTCCACAATGCTCTGTACTCAGGAGCGGTCACTCATGACGCACAAGGGTGGTCATATGATCCCAACGGACCAGTTGAAGCACCTCTCCATCTGGAGGCTGGGCCAGCAGAGCCATGTGACCCAGGCAGAGCCAATCAAAGTCCTCCCATATTACATAACTGCTAGGGCAGTAAGAATCCCCAGATGCCAGGATGACACATAACCCTACCACTGCCCAGAACTATCTTGTTGCCGTGTGGAGAGATCCTGCCTGAGCCAGAAGCCAGTGCCCTCCCCTGAGCCCCTGGATCCAGCTGTGGCTGAGACAAACTCCTTGGACCTCTCATTTGTGAAGCAGTAAATTCATCTTGTTACCTAAAATGGTCTGAGTGTCTGCCACTTCCCACCACGTGAGATGCAGTGAGCATCGTGAAAAAGTCCAGTTAACATTAATTCTGTTTTCCTCCTGAAAGTGGCCACTGCCCGTGAACACCACCAACACTGACATGTCAGCTGCCTCTGCCATGGCCACCCCACTTCCTCTCTGGCCTTTGTGCGTCACAGGTGGTCCAGCCACAGCCACATACATGCTGTGTACCCCTCTGTCTGCAGGCAGGCATCTTCCAAAGGCCTCACTGCTGAGTGAGCATCTACTGGGCCCCTTGCTCCACAGAGGACCGACAGCCCCGGTGGCTGCCCACTTACTAACGGCACAGGGACCGCAGGAGGAATTTAGAGCCCTCAGGCTGGGCACGGTGCCTTCAAATATCTGAATCTAAAAGTCGGCGAGTACTGCTCTGCAACGAAAAGACCAATGGCTCCCACTCATAGTTTTACACTCAGGGTAAATTCCTCACGGCCTTGTTAGAGATGGCGAAGCAGACATTGGAGAAGCCATCACACAGCTCAGAAAACTGAGCCCTGAAGAGCTGAGTGACTTGACACCCTGACCACCAGCAAGTCCAGACTGGAACTGGAATTCATTCTACGTGTCCCGAGTTGAGGGAGACTGACATGATGCAGTTCTGCAGGCAGCGATTGTAAGTGTCCATTCCCCAACCTTTATGATACCCCACTACTGGTCCCCTCAGCTGGGCAAGCCCCATCAGAGGGGGCGCCCAGGTAAAATACAGGAGGTCTGCATTTGAATTTCACATAATGAGATTTTTTTAGCGTAAACATAACCCAAATATTGCATGAGACAAAAAAAATTCATTGTTTATGCAGAGTTCTAAATTAACTGGGCACACGGTGGTTTTGTTAAAAGTGACAATGCTACATCTGAGGTTCTTTCAGTAGTTCACAAAGGGTATGAATTGCCCATCCTTAGCAAACTCGGCCTCCTTCCATGGATGCCATAACCCAACTACCAACTGGAGTTTAATGTATGACAGCTACCAGGGCAGGATTTGATGTCACCTAATATTAGGACCCAAGCACTCCTCAGTTTTACCCTATTCTTCACCCCTCTTTCAAAGAGCTTCCCAGGAAGTCTGTTCATACAAGAAATGAAGGCAAAATGGGACTCATACCACGTCACTAAGGCAGGGCAGCGGCCTTCCCTGCCAGGAAATGATGCCCATTGGTCTTGATCTGACCAACCAGGTCAGCAATCATCTTCCCTTGGGATGGAAGCGTGTGCCTGGGAAGGGGCAGGTGGGGCAAAAGCAAGCATGGCCAAGTGTCAGGCTCGGTGGCATCTCCAGCCGACTGAAGGAGCCTGCTCATGAGTCTGTCTGGAAACCTAACTGGGCACACATGGATGTGGAAGCTAGGGGGCAGGTGAACGTGGGTCCCAGAATCAGGAAGGAGAAACGGGAAAAATGAGACACTGTGACATCCGAGAGTCTTCCAGCAGATGAGAAACAGGGTGAGAGCTACAATTTGTTTGGAAGTCAGACTTTTCCTTCAGGGATTCCACGCTACTCTTCAGAGCAGAGTGTGGCTTTCTGATGCCTGGTACTGGGGTGGCCTACACATCCTGTGATAGCCAAAGATAAGAGTAGAACCAGCACGCGGAGGGAGGCAGAGAAGAGACCACAGACTCTCTGGGTCCCACTTCTTCAGGTACCCGTCCTGGGCACCGTGAGCTGTGTCCCTTTTCCCGGACCTCAGAACCTTTGGTGCTCCACCGGGCTGGGTGGACTTCTGTCACTTACAGCCATTCCATCACTTTCATGAGAAAAACTACCAAAAATAAGGAAGCAAGGCCCCAGTTCAGTTCATTTCATTGCAATTTATTTAACTTAAAAATACAAACAGAAACAAAAAAATCATTTTCCAATGAAAATACAAACACTTTGGGTGGTTGTCCAGCTTTTCTTCCCTGTAGGCTGTTCTCAAACCAATCCAATGAGCACAAGTGAGTTTTGACTGGAGCCATAAAGCATGTCGCACCAATTAAATTACACCAATATATTATTATAATACCTTTGAAATGCCTTTCAGACCAATAAATAAAAAAGACAAATTCAAATTAAAAAGTCAACTTTTTATTACCAAAAAAAAAAATAGAAATTAAATAAAAGTCACAACACGGATTTAAAAAAAAAAAATGTGCAGTCAAGTTTCTCTTCCTCTCTTCCCCCTAGGAATGATCCCATGCCAGTAAATCCCTACAGAACATTTCCAGTTTGGCAACAAACAGTCAACCATTCACATTTCTACTCAAGACAGCAGGCCGGGGCAGAACTCGCCCAAATTTCCCCACGCGGGGCGCGCCCCGTCCTCACCCTCATTGGAAGAGGCTGCGCCTGGTCACGGGTGGAAATTCGGGTACGTAGCATTTTCATGTTGCCTAGGGTCTTGAAGCACTTCCTGAAAACTGATCCTGCCTGGACATTGACCTGTAAAAAGAAGTTAATTCTACCCCTTTGGCAGATGTGTAAACTAAGACGTTGAAAGGCCCCCAGAGGCCAGGAAAGGGCCCGGAGAGCTGACACGGAATCTCCTGCTCCGCCCGCTGGGTGATCCGAGCGTCTCTCACTTGCAATTCCATGGAAATGATTCAAGCATTAATCTCTTTGGCTGGGGCTTGGCTGGTAGGGGTGCCGGGCGTGAGGAGGAAGCAGCAGAGGCTGTGGGGAGGGCTTTTCCCTCCACTCCCAGTTTTTCCTGGAAAGCACCGTCAACGTCACATCTGACAGCAAAACAGCATCAGCAGAAAGTCAGGACTGAGCCGGGCCCGAGACCAGAGGAGGAAAACAGCCCCGAACGCTGCCCAGGCCCACAGCCCTGAGGCAGACCGGGGCTCCTCTCCATATCTGCACGATCCACAGAATTTAGTGACAAAGGCGGACATCCTGGTGCTGGGCAGAGGGAGAAAGTAGCTTTCCTTAAGTGTCAGGCCAGACAGGAACGATCAGAATGCGGGAAGACGAAGCAGATGCAGTCACCTGGCAACAGGGAAAGCCATCAGCTGGGAGGTGGGTGTGACACCACATCACAGGGACAGCTGCGGGTGGGGCCGGGGTGTGGCGTACAGGCTGGCCAGAGAAGACCGAGGATGACCAGGTCAGGGGCTGAGGGCCCCCCGAGGACACGGGCACCTTCCACAGCACCCACGGCCCGACGCAATCTGCTCTCCACGGATTCTGCTCCTCTCAGCCTCTCTTGGAGCTCAGGAAGGAGGTGGAGTTGAACGGAAGGAAACCACGCAGCTTCCCAGAAAACTCGGCTCGGCTCCAGCTGCTGGAATGCAGAAGCAGGAAGACCAGAGCTGGCGGGAGGGGACAGGGCATCTCCCGAAGGAAGAGGCGATCGCACCTGCACACACGTTCTGAGCGCTGCAAGGGGAAGTCTGGTTCTTCCAGAGGTTTCCGTGGCCAGTCCTCCTGTGGGAAGCCAGCCCCTGACGTAAGGGTGTGATTTGCCTAAGCCAGTCAAGTGTGAAGTCACCCCAGCGGGCCCTTACCCTCGTGGAGGCGATGTCCTCTCTCATCAGGGTGTTTAGAAAGTGCACACCTCATTTAAATACTTGCGGAGCCCTCTTGTGTCTCTTTCCTGTCCCTTGTGACTCGTAAGGAAACGTCCCTCTCCTCTCTGCTTCCCCCACGCACTCCTGCTCTTCTGACCCGCTTGCTTAAGCAGATGGAACTTTTATCCTCCCCTCAGCCCTAAGCCATGATCTAGAACCCCCAGCTTTGGGGCCCAGAGCGCCCACTCTGACCTCCGCTGCACAGGGCTAAGGTCGAGCCCGCCGGTCCTCTGGAGACCAGGCGCAGCACTGCATGCCGGTTCTAGGCAGGTGCAGGCGTGGCCCTCAGCTAATGCTGGACACCAAAGAAAGCACGGCCTTGCCAGTGCACGCGACATGCTTGCTGGGCTCCTGTACACTGTCACACGCAACAGCCCCGGCCCAGCCCCGCGCTCGAGTCCCCCCCCACCCTCAGGAGCTGTGCCGAGGGGCAGGGCACAAGTCTCGGTGACACCCTCGATGACGTGGCTTCCCCGGCGGAGTTCAGAGCACACTTTCTCCTACAAGACTGTGTCTACCCCAGATGCCACCCTGGTGGCACAAAGCCTCAGCGCAGACCCGGCAGGCTACCTTCACCTTTCCCAGGACTGAGCCAGGCCCCAGATGGCAAGGTCAAGCGAGAGTGCTACTGCCTTTCTTCTGGATTCCATGGCTGCCGTTACTATCGGATCCCCACACTCTCAGATGGGCAAGGGCCCCAGCCAGCACCCCAACAGCCAGGAGCAATCGATCGCCAACTCAGGCTCTGGTTGCTGAAATCATCTTGTGAGCCCTGTGCAGCCAGACCAAGCTTGCTGACTCGGGGAGAAAAGGAGCAAGCTCTCGGCTCATCCAAAGGACATGGCCCCCATCTCTCCCCCCCTCTTCCGGGAGCAAGCATGACTTCCAGGGCAATGCCCCTCCCCCACGAAGCGCCGGCCACCACCACCCCTGGGTCTTCCACAAGGTGTCAGCTGCGATGCCAATCAGGACCCAAGTTCTGACCGGCAGTCGGCAGAACTGGCAAGAGCCTGCTCCCCTCGTCAGTGCCGGCTCCCAACTACACACTCAGCCAAGCCAGATGGTGCCAGTCCTTTCCCGGTGTTCATGGCCAGTGAAGAGGTAACCAGCCTGTGAGTCAAGTCCCGCCCACGCCTCCGCACCTGCCCGCCCACCCTCCCGCCGCCCTGCGCCCGCGGGGCTAGTTGAGCTTGCTGCAGATCTCCAGGGCCTTCTTGTACACCTGAGTCACGTCGTCCATGTCCGTGAGGAGCGAGAAGCTGCTGTCCGCCAGCCGGTTCCGGTACCGCTTCAGGTACTGGGGCCGCGGCCGGTTGTGGAGCCCCTCGAAGTCCTGGATCTGGAGGAAGTTCTCGGCTGAGACGCAGCTGCGGATGCGCTGGCGGGCGGGCCGGTTCTCCTGCAGATCCAGCAGGTCAAAGGAGTCGCTGGACAGGACGCTGTCGTCGCTGATGACACTGGAGGGACGACTGTAGCTCCGGGACAGCCCCTCGGCGGCAGGGACGCCGGGCTCCGACAGGGATTCCAGTGTGGGAGTTTCGGGGCTGGCGGCCGCTGAGTACTTGCTGCTGTGCTTCAGGATGCCTTTCCTCCTGCAGGACAGGCTGTGGGAGGCCACGCGGGCCGGGGCGGGGGGACTGGGGGGCGGGAGGCCGCTGCCCGTGCTATCGTCCCCGTCCAGCAGCTCTGAGGACTCGCTGCGCTCCGGCGATGAGTAGTAGCCCGACTCTCTCTGCTGAGTCTTTTTCAGGATGCCTTTCTTGGGCATGGTGGCCGACTGCTTGGGGCTGAGCGTCCCAGGCATGTCGGCCTCGGGGGAGCCAGCGAGGGGCCCGGCTGTCCGGCACAAGTCCTGCTCTATCTTGAGAGCCGGAGGCAAGGCAGGCCCCGCGACGCCCTCGATGAAGCCGGCACTGTGGGAGCGGTGCTCGCTGCTGCTCCGCTTCTTCAGGATGCCCTTGGGCCTCTTGGAGCTCAGCTTGGACCCAGCCTCAGCCACCGAGTCCTGGCCGGCCTGGGCGAAGTCGTTCTCTTTCTTGGACTTCTTCAGCGACCGCTGCCGCTCCAGCGTGACCTCGGAGGCCCCCGGTTTGGCCAGGCCTCGCACCTTGGCCTCCGCCTCCGCCTGCATCCCTGTGGAGCGGTGATGCCAGTCGATGATCCGCGCCAGGAGCGGGGACTCGGAGTCGTGCAGGGCGTCGCAGTCACACACGCTGCTCTTGTAGCCCCAGTTCACCCACCAGTGGTTGGCGATGTCCTCGATGGTGGCTCGCCGGTCGGGATTCACCATCAGCATCCACCGGATGAGCCCTCGGGCGTCTGGGGACAAGAGACAGAGTCAGGCGCTGCCTGGACACCACCCTGCTCTACCGGGAACCTTGAGCGGGAAGCCGCAGCACCCGGGGAACTCGAAAGCACAGCCACAACAGGGCCGGGAAGGAACATCGGGAAGGAACAGGGCCGGGAAGGAACATGGAGCTACCCCGTTTCCATGGAGGTGCGCAGGGCCAGGTCACCAGGAAAGCAGCCAGAAGGAATGCCCCTCATTCCCCACCAGGAAGGCTGCCCTGGCAAGTCCTTTGTGGACGGCATTTTACCAAAGGGAAAAGCGGGTGCTGACCACCACGGCTCTCTGTTCCTCCAAAGGGGGTCCTACCAGCATGGGGAGAGGGGCTGCAGGAGCTCACTGCGCCAGGTGTGGCACTCGCCCAACAGGCCGGGGCAGGGGCAGCACCTGAGGCCTGGGCCGGGTTCCCGAGCCGTGGCTGATGAGCTCACTTCCTTCCCCTAAGCGGCATCCAGAGAGCTGATCTGCACCTGCTACCCCAGCACTCACGGTTTCCCGAGATTCCCCGTGCAAATTTCAGCTGCCAGGAAATCAGGGCAGAGACGCAGAGGGGTGCTGGGAGGCCCCAGGGACGGGTCACAGCGGAGGTCGAGTCCCCCCGCCAGGGGTTGAGTTCCACCCTGGAAAGCTGCCACCTCCCCTCAGCCACTTTTGAGGGCCAAGGAACAGCCTCAATGTCCTGAAGTGACTCAAACATTTCCTTTTTGTGGTCATGCTGACTTCAGGGAAGAGCTAGGAGTCGCCCGGTGCCGGATCCGGTAAATAAAGTGGATGGGGGTACCATCATGTTTTTAGGAACCTGCCTTCCCGTCCCACTCAGCAGTAGCATTCGTCACATTTTTTGTCACGCCTCGTAAGACCCTCAGGAAAGAGGACTCGGAGCTGCTCCAGAAGGTGACAAGCACGATGGATGGGGTAAGTATTTGAAGCCAGAGGGGGGATTCTGAGGCGGATTCTCGACAACGTGTCTTTCATTTTAATCACTTGTTAATTTAAACATTCACCATTTATTGCAATCACCCACGTACTCCCTGGCACACAAAGCAGAGGATGCGAGCCAGGGCAGGTGGCCGGCCCCCTCCCTGACCACCCCCGCAGGCCACTCACCTGAGGGCTGCGTGGGCTCCCGGTACTCTCCGCTGCTGATCTGCCGAATGAGGTTTTTGTGATCAAACCCATCAAAGGGCATCGTTCCATAAACAAGGGTGTAAAGCAACACGCCCAGCGCCCAGCTGTCCACCTGGAGCAGGAAGACAGGACACAAAGGAGCTGAGAGCCACTCACAGCCTGGGATGGGCCACTCACAGCACCCCCAGGAGCCGAACCGAGCACCTGGCAGGTGGCTGCCACTGCAGATGACAAGTGACAGCAGTGCTACAAGGCCTGCGGCAGCCCAGCCTATTTACAAACTGACGCAGGTTATCTTCCTCTCCATCTTCCTCTTCTTCATTAGGATACCATTTCACTACACATCTGTACACTGCTTTTAAGTATTTTCTATAATAGCATGCATTGCCTCTCCAATTTTTAAAAATGATGGTTTTATAAAAATAACATGTTCAGCACAATATTGCCTTCAATATGATTCTACTCTCCAAATTTAAACTTTATGATATTCTAGTCATTCACTTGTCTCCACATGTATTTTGCTCTATTTCACTTTGAAAATTATGTCTGCTTCTTTCTTGTGACTAACTGTATTTGCATGTGTGTTAAACATGTAACACGCAGAAAGCTGAATTAGCTAAAACCATATTTCTTCTTTGTTTCTACTTCAGGATGTCAGGGGTTTTTGCTAATAGTATATATTGGTGATACATAGTAACTGCAATCATCCTGTGACTTCGTACACATATATATGGCATCTTGATTATTTTTATTCACCACTGCCCCTTCCTACCGTCTCCCCTCTTTTCCAGACCCCCATCCATCTCCAGAGTCTATCCCCCCATTTCCTACTGTCATGGCCTCCATCACGTGCTCATACGGCTAGATCTAAGATGTGTGATCCTGGGACTAAGGGTGTTGGTACTAAATTAATCCACAGATTGGCTTGGCACAGTCCTGAGTGGGATAATGGATAATAGGAAGGCTCTCCCTGGCGTGGATGGCACCACCCAATAGGCTTGTGGAATGGAAGGGATAAAAGGGAAAGGAAGGCTCACTGCTTGCTGCCTCCTGCCTGCTCTATCATGGATTATTTCTCTTCTGCCATGCCGCCCTGGCTTGGAACCAGCCAACTATGGAGTGAAACTTCTACAGACTATGAGCTAAAAGAAACATTCCATCCTTTAACTTGTGCATATCAGCTATTTTGTCCCGCCAACAAGAAAAGTAACTAAGACACCTACCAACTCTCTTTTATTTTGCTCTTTAAAGCATTTATATTTTGGGTTTCTCTCTTCACTTGGTGAAGCAAGAGGACCTGGATGATTTCCAGCCCCATCTGACAGATGAGAGTATTAAGACACAAGGAGCTAAGTGGTTTCTACAGAGGTCTCCCAGTCCTTCCTGTACCTTGTTCAAACAGATTAGGGGCCACAAACTCAAATCTTACGAGAACCAGGTAGACAACAAGCTTGAACCACACAAGAAAGAAATGAAATAGAATGCAGAGTCCTGGGTTAAGAGAAATTGTAAAGTGCCTTCCCCCAACCTTGGGCAGACAACCTACCCCACCTAACTGTTGCCATACTGAAATGTGGGACCACACTGCAAGAGTCTTTCATTTTTAAAGAGAAATCAGAAATCTAGAGTTTTCTGTGGAATGTACCAATTATTAAATGTTTGTTCAATTTTTTTACAAAGACAAATGTGGACAAGTAAAGCATGTTTGCTGGCCATAACAGACTGCCAGCCTGTAACTTCACACACTAACTGTTAAAGACCAGGAAAGCCTTTTTATCTAAAATATTTAAAGAGTCAGGGACTTCCCTCTGAGTACTATTCATGTTCATATAGTAGGGGAAATCTGAATTCAGTCCAAATCTAGAAACCTTATTAAATATATTACAATATATTCACATAAAAAGACATTATGTTGTCACTGCAAATCATATTTTACTAATAATGAATTTGGGAGATATCACAATATAGTTTTCAGTTAATAGAAGGCAAAATATGCAAGTATATTGCAGTATAGGTATCTTGCCCTTTCTTACGTTGATCTCAATTATTTTTACATGATCCCAATTACTTTTTCACTCTCAATTATTTTTGAAATGCAGATATCTACATTGGAAAAGTCTAAAAGTTACAAAAATGTTCAGTGGTTGTCTCTTGGTGGGATTGCGGGTAACTTCATTTCTCCCCAGGGCTTTTCTAAATTTTCCAAACATCCCCCAGGTGTGCCTATTATTGCTTTTATAATCACATGAGGACAAGTTTTCTTCACTTCTTTGGGGGATTTTCAAAGGATTTCCTAGCTCTGGTTCTTTCCTCCCACCTTCCTCTACCCCAGCTCCCCTCCCTGCCCACCCCAGGCAGCCTGCTCACCTCTGGCCCTCGGTAAGGCCTCCCGTTGACAATTTCGGGGGATGCGTACAGTGGACTCCCACAAAATGTTTGCAAGAACTTGTCCTTCTGGTACAGGTTGGAAAGCCCAAAGTCAGCAATCTACAAAGAGAACCAAGACCCCAGCACTGAGCTGTTAGTGTCTGTGATGGAGCCATTTGTGTCACACACAGGGAGCATCTGGGTCACCGAATTCTCTTGAGTCCTGAGTCTTCCCCCAAGGGGCCACTGAACACAAGGCCAGTGCTTCCCCTGCCATCCACAGCATACGCTACCAGATCTGCAGACCGCATGCCAACTTAAAACTCTACTTACACTTCAGCTGAGGCCTGCCCTAAGAAACCAGTTCCATAGAGTGACCATCATCAAGAAATCCAGTAACAAATGCTGGTGAGACTGGAGGAGAAAGACCTTCCACATTGTTAACGGGAGCGTAAATCAGCACAATCATATGGAAATCACTATGAAGAGTCCTCAAAAACCTAAAACTAGAAATTTCATTAAACCCAGAAACTTCCCCTCTAGTGTCTTCCCAAAAGAGATAAAGACGTCACTTTACACTGATACACGCATATTTATGTTTATAGCAGCACAATTCACAATTGCTCAGTCTTGGAAGCAGCCTATATGCTCATCAACAGAGGAATGATAAAGGAAACGTGGAATTTATACACAATAGAGTACTATTCTGCTACCATCAATGATAAACTTGGGGCATCTGTAGGAAAATGGAGGCAACTTTGAGACCATAATGATATATGACATAAATCAGATACATACATAAGCTTAAGTATCACATGATTTCTCTTATTTGAGAAATCCAAAATATAAATAAAGAGCAAAATAAAAGACAGATGATAGGAAACAGGGAGTGAGATCTTTTGCAAAAGGTAAGAGGACCAAGAGATGGAAAGAGCATGGGGCAGGGGTTTTAAAAAGAATTAAGACGTGTTATATACATGCACCAATTCCCCACAGTAAGTGTAATTGTTATATACTGCAAACAAATATTAATAGAAATAAAAGAATTTTTAAAAGGAATCATTTCCACAGAATCAACTGCCTGGTGTTTGTGGTGAATACGACAGTGTACAGAGCTGGCTCAAGAGGCCCAGTGGTATCTGAGATCTTGGGTCATACGGACCCATCATTCTGTAGTGTTTTTTTATGCATACATATCTCTGATTAAAGTTTAATTTACAAATTAGGCAATAAATTAACAATAAATTAGGCTACAAATTAACAATAATCTCTAACCATAAAATAAAACAATTAGAACATCATACCGTAACAAAATTGATTGCCAACACAATTCTTTCACTTTGAGATCATAACTAAGTAAAATAAGGATCATTTGAACATCAGCACTGTCATATGGGAACTAATAAATGAGATGGTTTCTGAGTGATTAATGGGCTATCAGCACATACAGTGTGGATACACTGCACAAGGAGATGATCCACTTCCCCGGTGTTTCAAAAATGGTGTCACAAGACTTCATTGCACTATGCAGAAGGTGAACAGTTTAAAACAGATGAGCTGTTTCTAGAATTTTCCATGCAATTCTTTTGGACAGTGGTTCACTATGGGTAGCTAGGACTGTAGCAAGTGAAGCCTCAGATAAAGGGTCACGATATAACTATGCATCTAAAAGTCATCCCTCTGTAGCTTACCACAAATCAGTGCATTCACAGTGGCCCATGTGTCACACTGTGGACGATGCTGACCTATGAAACACCACCCACTCCCCAACCAAAGCTTCCTTTCCCTGCATGTGACCAGGGATATGACACACACTAAGCACTGAGCTCTGAGTCATCATGTTTCACCCTCACTCTGCCACAGAGCAGGTCAGCAGCTCTGAGCCTTAGTTTGCCCATCAGAAAATGGGAATCTATGATCCCTACCCAGCTCTGGCTCACAAGATAACTGTGAGGATAGTAAAAAATAAAGAAAAAAGATAAGGCCATGAACGTAAATGTGCTTGATGATGTGCAAGATCTGTGGGAACCGTCCACCTACCCTCCGCCCCTGCGCTTCTTCCTGCCCTTCCTTATTGGTTACTTGAAGAGATTCATTCATTGTCCTTCATCCCAGCACCTTCATGTGTGTGTTTGTTTACACAGCACAGGTATACAAGTACGCACACCCACACATCTCTACACACTACTCACGTATGCATACACACGTGTGCATATATATTTGCCTTCCCTGAGACTCTGGGCCCCTGGGCAGCAGGCAGGATCCACATCCCCCAGCCATGTATCATCTGCTGCCTGGCACCTGTCCCCAGACACCCCTGGCGTAGGTCAGGCACTCTATTCTGAAAAGCACAAGATGATGAATGGGTAATAAAATAACAGTGATACACCTCATTACTACTCACTGAACAAGTTCCGATCACCTGCAGCCTCTAACTTAATCCTATCAAAGCTTCATTGACACGCCAGTGGGCATGCACCCTCCTGCGACTGAACTCCTGCTAGCGAACGGCACACCCGAGAACACTTGCAAATGGTCAACTTCATTATGTTACAGACACCTGACACCAGTTTTTTTAGAAGCCCCACTTCACAGAGGAAGAGCCTGAGGCTGAAGGAGATGAGGTGATTCACAGAAGGAGAGGGAGCTGTCAGGCAGCGATGCTACCACCTGTGTCTCCTAGGCTGGACCTGCCACGCCGCGCTGCCCAGAAGAATCACACAGGTCACTCCAGCCTCGGGCTCACATGCTGAGCCGCCAGGGGACCCTGCCACCCCGCAGAAGGGGATCCCAGGGCGTCCCCAGGCTCTAGCCTGGCTCTGGCTGCTGCCACCGCAGACCTCAGACAGAGTGTGTCTGCAACAGAGACGCAGAGAGGCAGGGGCGGTGGGGCAGCACGCACACACTGGCAGCAGAGACCCCCGCCCCGCCCGGCACCTGGCTGGCTGTGCACACAGCCAGTCTGAGATGCACGATTGTGCTCTGGCCGCTCCCAGCCTCCAGACTGATGCTTATCAGCCTCTCTCTGTGGAGCTGTCCCTGCTGCTGACACAAGATGAATAGAAATCCAGATTTGCTCACGTTATCAGTCCTGGGACGGAAATGCAGAATTAATCCATACACAGAGTTCTCAAACTGTTGGCCACCTGGAGCTGGGCCAGCTCAAAGATACAACGCCACTCGGAGCTTCTGTCAACTACGGGCAAGAGGACAGAAGCTCACTGGCCAGAAGACCACTCAGAGCCTCTGTTTCCTTATCTGTCGAGTGGGAGTCAGGCAAGAATGCGCCCAATTGCATTGTGGGAAGATTAAGCAATATAAAACATGTAAGACAGTCACAATGGTCACTGGCGCAGAATTGGAATCAAACCAGTATTTGCTGCCTAGTTTTACATCCGAGTAGGTGATGTATTTCATGATCCCTGAGCAACACGCTTCATCCCAACACCAGGGGCTCCCAGTAGCCAAGGAACAGCAAGGATTTAGGGACGAAGAGTCACAGAATTAAATAAGTTTAAATCACAAAACGAAAAATACATTCCCTCTTGGGTTCTCTTTCTGCTCTTGGAACTGAGGCAGGAGCAGGTCTCACGTGGCCCCCAGGGGTCCTCGGTATCTCCACGCCCGTGGCAAAGCACAGCCACGGGGCTCTCGGCTGTCCCTGGCAGCGAAAATCACGCCAGGATGGAAGGATGCTACCTGGCCTCCATTACACTTATTCTGAGTGTATTTCTATTCACGGCAAGAGACACGGGTTTTCCATTTGAGGTCATTATTTAGGGCTGCTTTTTCAAATCAGTACACTTTAGCAAGCAGCTTGAACTACACAGAAATATTATGTCAAATAACAGAGGGGATAAAAAATCCAACCATACAGAGCGAAGGAAAAACTGAAATTTGGGAAATAGTGCATTTAAGCGTAATGACAAAATAATCTTTATCTCAGAACTGGTTTCCGCGTGAATAAGCCGTGAAAGAGATTCGTCCTGCCTTTTGCCCCAAAACTGAAGGCGCCAAGAGGCCAGGGTCGTAAGAAGCTCTGCTGAGGCCACAAAAGAGACCAGCAGGCTCACAGAACGGCTGTGCCTGAGGGTGACCCCGGCGAGGAGGCCACAGGGCATGGCCCGCTGCAGACACACTGGTCCCTTGCTGGTGTCTCTGCTGGCACTGGACAGTGCCCCGGCCTCTCGTGCTTTCAGAACCAAACAGCCCTCCCCACGCCGGGACTCTGCTCAACCTTGACCCCCACCCCGTCCTTCCTCAGGGGAGCCGCTGCTCCTATCAATCCTTTTCGAGGCACGCCCTGCTAAATGGAAGTCACAGCCAAGAAGACAAATTAGGAGGTGATTATTCACATTTCAAAAGGATTAACCTCATTACAACCCCAAGGAGCCTCCAATGCAGCGCGTACGTGAAATAAACCAGACGGGAAAAGACACACGCTGTCTGATTCCATCTGCACGAGGTCTTCAGAGAGGACAAATGTACCGAGACGGGCGGAACAGAGGCTGCCAGGGGCTGGGGAAGGGGCCAGGGCCTGCGCGGAACCGTGAAGATCCGGATTCTCCAGAATCCCTCTGCAAAGACAGTGTGAGCGTGCACACCTCACTGGGGCAGTTTTAGGTTAGGCTAGGTGTATGCCACCACCATAACGAGAAGGATTAATATCAGATTACTGTGAAAAATGAGCTCACCTGGTTAAAAAAAAAAAAAGGAAGTAATAGCTTGTTGATGTGAACCGCTGAAAAGGAGGCTGAGGGCAGTGATAATCATCAGCCGGCCCGCGGCCAGGAGGAACTGAGGTGCATGCGACAGACAGGTTTTGAAGCCAGGAGAAGCCGGGACTCGCCTGGCCTTGTCACGATCAGGCCATCAGCAGGACCTGCCAGGTGACTCAGCTTCCCCATCTGCAGAAGGGACGCGTGACAGAGCTCAACCATGGCTGTGGAAAGGACCGTAGTAGGTGCACGTGAAGCCTGAACAGACCCAGTGGGCCAACTGCGCAAACCACAGCCATCACGATGACCCTCGTGGCTGGGTGACCTCACACCTCTGTCAGGCAAGGTGCGTTCGGAGCCACCACGCTAACCACCAAGAGACATCATCACCTGGGTATGAAG